ATATATATATATATATATATATATTATAACCATGTATGAATGAAAAAGTATGAATGCATATTTGCCATTTTAACTGAAATTAGGATTCGTGGTGGTGTTGAGACATTGTTGGTCATTCAGTTTTTCTGGGCAAAAAAAAAAAAGAAAACAGAAAAAAAACCTACCAATAATACTGATAATATAATAATACTAATTCTACTACTGATAACAATATAAAACACACTAAGATCTGATGATCTGCTGGGTTTATGAATATTAATCATGTTTTCTACATTCGCTCAAACTGATTTGCTGAAATCAGCCAACGACACTGCCGTTTGCACATTAGCTCTGCCTACTACCGAAGAAACCAGAAGTGGCTTCCACTTGTTCTTAAAGGTCCACTGAAGTGCCTTGAAACACGCAGCGTTATTCTATGTGGTGACAATTTCAACTGAAACAGGAAGACAGGGCAGAACATATCGAGCAGCCCCACCCCCATTTTAAAATAGCCAATAGTGTTTTGTTTATATCTGCTCAGGGCAGAGCCGTTGAGCTCGGTAAAGCCGCATTTGACAGCCACAGTTTAATAGATTACCCCCTAGATTCAATATGAAACTCTTACTAAAAGAAAATAGTGACCATAATCATGCTGAGGCTGTGTTTAATATTTGCCGACTCGTGCATATGATCTGCTCCATGCGATCACGTCTCTGGACCAGAGCCAAAGTCAGGATCAGACTGCGCACTGCCGAGTGACCGATCTCAGCCGCAACTTCAGCATCTTATTTATAGTGTATGGGGTAGGCGCTTCGGATTCTAGGGAGCATTTGATTGGTCAGAAGATTTGATGAGAAGCTGAAGTACGAGGTGACGTCAAAAAAATCGTTGATCCATTTTGGCAGAAGTGACGAACTGCAAGCTTTGAATGCTTGTATCTTCTAAATTCAAATTTTGTCACTGTTTTGGAGCACACTGCCTTATAGATAACCTTAAGACTAACATATTGATACTAACACCCAAAAAAACTTTCATTTTGATTTCACGAGGACTTTAAAGGCTAAATAATTCTAAATGAACTCCACTATTTTGATAGGACAATACAACAAAGAAAATTATTTACATGTAGCACATCAAATCTATGTGCTAGGGCTGCACTATAAATCGCATGCGATATTTAACGCGCATCTTGTCAGTAAAGCCGGTTCTGTAATCACCGGCTTTACTGACAAGATGCGCATTCAATATTTATCGTGCAGCCCTGTCTTGCTCTCCCTCTTTTTGCTTGTTTGAGAGAAACAGTGAACGCTCTCTCTCAGCTAAGTAACAACTAGTCGGGCACCTTCACACTAGAGTTTATGGTACGCCAAATACGGTGCGCATCCATTGAGATAAATTAAAATTGCGCTTTAAAGTGAAACAGTGTTCAAAATGAATGAGGGTAAGTGAAATATCTGTGTTAAACTTACACTTAGTCTCTAACTCAAACACTGGTGAGTGAATTCTAACAAATTATTAGCCAATGGCTAACGATAGACATTATTTGACTGTCTAGCATGGAAATTTACTTGCATATGCAAGTGTAGCATTGTAGACGGCTGTTTAAATACTTTTTAAAAGAAAGTTACATTTTTTTGTTAATACTGTTACAAGTTTAATGAGCAAAAGAACCATCATACTTGAAGTCTTTACAGTCGCGATCCATCCCATTCAGCAATCCCCTGGAATTTGCTTTTGAGGCATCCCCTTCATCTCCGACTTGCATCTCAGGACTTTTGTCTTCTTCAAATGGAGAAGCCTTTTCTTTTGAATCACCTTTCTCCCTGCCATCTGGATCTGCATCTGCTCCACCCTGGAATCACCATAAATCAAGTTAAACAAAGCCATCGCCGAGGCCAAATTACTTCAGGTTGTGTATGAATTATCTTAATCTAGTCTAATACCCCCCTCTACAAAATACTACGTTACCCAGTAAATATTCATCAATGGCATTTAATGTTTTAGCTATTATCACTATTGTGTGATGAAGTTTCTAAAATTCAGTTGATTTGACACAGAATGACCCTATTTTCAATCATTTCTATTCTTGACTGATCTTTTTTCAAAATTTTGGCAATATAACTTAAATAATTGATCTTGAGAGGAGACCCTAGACATACAATTTTACTCTCATATGTTGATACATAAAATCGGGAACTTGTCAGGTGATTTTTATAAATTGTTGTTTGATCACTATTTTTCAGTTGTTTAAAAGATTAAGGCAATTATCAAAGTTTGATAAAAATGTTTCATTTTCCAATAAAAGATCATACTTTTTTACATGAACCCCTTTGCAGATTTTGAGCCATACAAAGATAAAAAATAGAATAAAATACCAGCAGGCGATATGCATCTTCAGAGCTGGGTGGTAATTACGGGATTACATAATCAGATTCTAAAAATTAAGTACTTGTAATTAGATTAAATTACATTTTAAAATACTCGTAATATAAACTATTTACACAATAGCAATAAATGATTCATAATTTGCTGATTTTCCCTAATTCCTCTTTTTCACCTTTTAATGTTCCTTTCTAAAATAACCGACCACTTGTATACACTCATAAAGTCTTCCAGTTTTGTTCACATTCACACAAAGACTGGATTTACAAAAATCATTTCATGTTAAAGAAGTGTTTCAACACTGCATCAACTACTGAACACATTCATTTTATTTGAATTATCACTCTGTAGGTTCTTTAACCATGTATTTCTATGCCTTTAGAAGGCTTTTGTCTTTCAAACACATTAAAATGCACAAATTCATGAATTCACTTTTTTTTCATCTGATCCTCTTTCACCTAATGTATTTACTTAAAGTACCCCTAAGATTTTAAAATAAGATTTTATTGAGTATAACATTTGCATGTTCATGGTTCTCTGATGTAGGTTATGAGCACATGACATGCAGATAAACAAATAAAATATTTCTATTTTTTAGTAAGTGTTTTATTTTGATTGATTTTATAATGACTTATTTTAATTTCAAATTTTTATGATTTAATTGATTATTAGTTTTTTCATTAAACTCATAAACCCCTTGCAGTTCCTTCACAAACCCCAGTCTGGGAAACCTTGACATAATATAATGTTTAATGAAGTTCATGTTGCTAATAACAATGAATGGAATATATGTTCTTAATCTTTGTATCGTTATATCAATATGGTATAAGATTAGATCAAACCTAATCTGATCAATTTTTGACATGTAATTTGGAATCAGTAACAGATTACAATTTGTAAGTAATCTACCCAGCTCTGTGCATCTTTACTTTTTAAAGCCATGAAATCAAAAATGACCATATTTATTTCCTTAAAGGGAAATGACATGACATACTTTCTTCTGTGTGATTTTTATTGGCATATCTTTATATATCATATGTAAACAATGTGTCAAATCCTAAAGGATCAATAATAATGGAAATCTACAGATAGCTCTGTTTCTGACTGCTCTTGTTTGTAAACAACAGTAACCAAGGCTGTCCCACCCACCCAGGGGTGGGACCAGTTACTTATTTCTATGGGGCAAAAAGGAGAAATACCCATTCTGTTTTTTTTACATAAACCAAGAATTAAAGTGTTAGTTCACCCAAAAATGAAATTTCTGTCATAAATTACTCACCCTCATGTCGTTCCAAACCCGTAAGACCTTCGTTCATCTTCGGAACAGAAATTAAGATATTTTTGATGAAATCTGAGAGCTCTCTGACCCTCCATAGACAACAAGAATACTACCACGATCAAGGCACAGAAACGTAGCAAGGACACCGGTAAAATATTCCATATCTGACATTAGGGGTTCAACCGTAATTTTACAAAGCAGCGAGAATCCTTTTTGTGCGCAAAGAAAACAATAATAACAAATGTTTCAACAGTTCTTCTCCCCAAGTTATCGTCTTTCGCCATTTTGGAGAGTACCCCAAAACGTAATCAGCGTTACGTAATCATTGTTTACGTTCAGTAGAAAGCGCGCGTGCTGAAAGTAAACAATGCTGATTACGGTTGAGTGTGAGTAATTAATGACAGAATTTTCATTTTTGGGTGAACTAACCCTTTAAACACTCCATGTATTCTCTAGTGCAGGGGTGGCCAAAGTCGGTCCTGGAGAGCCACAGTCCTGCAGAGTTCAGCTCCAGCCCTAATCAAACACACCTGAACAAGCTAATCCAGCACTAAGGGTTACTAGAAAGCTAAAGGCAGGTGAGTTTTAATCAAGGTTGGAGCAAAACTCTGCAGGGCTGTGACTCTCCAGGGCTAATGTTGTCCACCTCTGCACTAGTGCTTCTTTCAGATTCTTTTTATTCAATTAACTTCCGCAAATTCTGTCCTGATTTTATAACACATATGCTTGAGAGAAAAAAAAAACGTGTTGTAATAAGATACCCAATGAGTGTAATAAGATAATTGACTCACATAGCCTCCGTTTCTGTAGCGACCATCCATCTTGTCTCCAGGGGAAGAACTGAGGACATACTCCACCATACTCACACCCAGACCACCCCCCTCTGAGCGAGGGGACAGTACAGAGCTTGCATCTCCGTTCCCGTTGTAGCTCTGGCCTGGTCGCCTTTGCACCATAATGGGCTGAGAAACAGAATGATCTAGACACAGCAGAGGAAAATAATACTGCTATGACAAAAACAAACCAGAAGACAAATAAAATATTTAAACATGCATTAAGAAAATCAAGCTAATGCGACTATAATGGAGATGTATGCAATATGGAATTTCTAGAATGATAACTACAAGTAACAATCAACAACTTTTCGCAGCTGATGCTGATAATTTTATATCTTTCAATGTATTCTTTATTTTATTCTATTTACTCTTTATACTGGAGCTGCTATCTATTTAGCTATAGTCAACTGGACCGATTCTTAAATCATGTTTTAATGGGTGACAAAAATTAGAAAGGTTTTGTTTCAATTTATGAGATAAAGTAATCAATTGCAAAACATTGATCACAGCAGGTGACCGTGATTAAAACAAGCACAAACAATGCAACAAATCCTGAAATATGTACATCTATTGAATATCTACCACACATGCTCCATGGCTGAATCAGATTTGTTCATAATTCATGAATGCAACATTGACAGTGTTACTGAACTGAAGTGAGTCAACATTGAATTCACTCAAAGGGTTACTCCACACTAAAATGAAAATTTTGTCATTAATCCCTTACCCCCATGTCGTTCCAAACCCGTAAAAGCTTCGTTTGTCCTTCGGAACACAATTTAAGATATTTTGGATGAAAACCGGGAGGCTTGCGACTGACTGTCCCATTGAGTGCAAGTATATAACACTGTCAAGGCCCAGAAAAGTATGAAAGACATCGTCAAAATAGTCCATCTGCCATCAATGGTTCAATCTGAATTTTATGAAGCGACGAGAATATTTTTTGTATGCAAAGAAAACAAAAATAATGGCTTTATTCAACAATTCGTCTCCTCCGCGTCACCGTAGCGCCATTTTGGAGAGTATCCACTGAACGCAAACTGCGTATGCTGTTCTGTGTCAGCCGCACCACACGGAGGAGACGAATTGCTGAATAAAGTAATTATTTTTGTACAAATAGTATTCTTGTCACTTCATAAAATTCAGATTGAACCACTGATGGCAGATGGACTATTTTGACGATGTTTTTCATACTTTTCTGGGCCTTGACAGTGTTATTTACTTGGCAGTCAATGGGACAGTCACAAGCCTCCCGGTTTTCATCCAAAATATCTTAAAATTGTGTTCCGAAGACGAACAAAACTTTTACGGGTTTGGAACGACATGGGGGTAAGTAATTAATGACAAAATTTTCATTTTGGGGTGGAGTAACCCTTTAAGCAAAATAACGAAACTTCAGCGATAGGCTGCTCTACTGTAGTAAGACTGTACTAAACTTTCATAATGAATTAACTTTACACAGTTATTAAACTGAACCAACACTGAAGAGCTAAACAACAAAACTATTGTCATTGGACCTAAATTTTAGTAGCAAGTACCTATAAAGTACCAGTAAAATTCTACTTTTCTAGATACCAACTTTGGTACCACAGCAAAAACTACTATAACATTTTTTTAACTATTTAAAAATGAAAATATTAAAATTAGTAAATTATTAATATATAATATAATTTTATTATTATAAATAATGGTTAAACATTAACATGCAGCCTTCAAATGATGTTAAATAATGTAAACATCACATTAAAAATATCAAATTAAAGTAATAATAATTCATTATATTTATATAGCGCTTTTCTAAGAACTCAAAGCGCTTTACATTGTGAGGGGGATCTCCTCATCTACCACCAGTGTGCAGCATCCACCTGGATTATGCGACGGCAGTCATAGTGCGCCAGAACACCCACCTCACACCAGCTTATAGGTGGAGAGGAGACAGCAAAGTAATAAAATAAATAAACTAGTGGTGTCAAAATTAGCGCGTTAACGCAGGCGATTAATTTTTTCAGTTTAACGCGTTAAAAATATTTAACGCAATTAACGCAGGGGGCGGGGCTAGGGTTGGCCACCCCACTCACAACTGCTGCTTCTGTCACTTTATCTCTTGACAAGAAGTGCATTTATTTACGGAAGTTCTAAGCAGCCATGCATTATTATAATTTTTTTCTTTCTTGTTTTCTCGTGATCACGGCTACATTTTCTTGTGATCTCGACACAACAAATTGTTTTCTCATGATCACAACTTAATTTTCTCGTGATCTCGACATAACAAAAGTTGTTTTCTCTTGATCACGACTTCATTTTCTCGAGATCTCGACATAGTAAAAGTTGTTTTCTCGTTATCACGACTTAAAGGGTTAGTTCACCCAAAAATGAAAATTAGCCAACAAATTACTCACCCTCAAGTCATCCTAGGTGTATATGACTTTCTTCTTTCAGACGAATCCAGTCGGAGTTATATAGTAACGATCGCAACCTTGACGGGGACATTATTAACCTGGTTTTATGCGTTAATTGAGAGTATTTTTGAAAAACCAAACGCAGTATACACATTATTAGTAATTAATTATATGTACAGACAAGCAAATGAGCCCATAATAAGAATGCAATGCATTTAATTCCACGTTAATCGTTTTCTTCCCATAGAATAACTACTGTACGGACAACACTTAACGTGGCTTAATGCGTTAAGGCAGTGTTTTTAAAAGACCAAACTCAGTAAACACATCATTAATAAAGCATTCTCTGTACAGACAAGCAAATGAGCCCATAATAAGAACGCAATGCGTTTAACGCGTTAAACGTTTTAACCATAGAAAACCGTTATAAGAAAAACGCACTGCGTCTGCATCCTGGACTCATCTTCTTGTCTGTACATAGCCTAGTATAATTTACTAATAATGTGTTTAATGAGTTTGGTCTTTTAAAAACACTCTCTAAACGCATTAAGCAACGTTAAGCGTTTTACAATGCCCCCTTTGAGGCACAAATGATCGACAGATAATATGCCTACTGTATCTTGTATTTCAGCAAATGTTGCTTCTCTTAGAAATAATGTGATTTTGTCCAGAGTTGGGCTACGCTACACATTTTATTTGTGTAATTAACATTAAATGGTCTAACAACAAATTGCATTCACCGCAAGCGCAGGCGGAGCGCCTTCAGAAGAATGCAGAGAAGCCTGTTCTAAAAATCTTAAGCTGCTTGGATTCAACTCACTTTATTTTCCTCAAACGAATGAAATAAGCTTAGGCTATATATAATAATACATTATAATAATTTGTTTGTGATTTTTATTAATCATGTAGGATAGGCTGTGATATCATGTGAGTTACAAGCTTGAGATGCTATAATGTGTGTGCGGTTTACAAAGAAATGTAGAAAATATAAAAGATTAGGCCAAAACACTGTATAACATCATTGAACTAAATTATACACATATGTAAATCAAATTTCTTATTAATATACATTTATTAACGATAAAGATTAAAAATAAGAAAGATGCACATTCCAAGCCTACGTCGTTGTAAATGAGAAACTGCGATGAGTCATGCAGCAGTAATAACGTAAGATAACAGATACAATTTCAAGCAAAATGATCATATTTATTCAAGCATTTAACATTTATAAGTTAATTAATGTCAGTAATGAACTTCACAAATTATAGCGATCAGGAAGAAGGTCCTCTGTCCCAAACGCGTACAGTATAGTGGATATTGTATACAACTGCCCATCAATAGTTCTATATTGCCACCTGTTGGTGCAGTTGTGTAACTTAGAGATCACGAGAAAACAACTTTTGCTATGTTGAGATCACGAGAAAACAACTTTTATGTCATGTCGAGATCACGAGAAAACAAGGAGGAAAAAAATAATAATGCATGGCTGCTTAGAACTTCCGTATTTATTCAGTCGCAGAACGACTGAGAATGGGAGACATTTCAGACGCGCCCTCCACTGCACTTCATTATATTATTTCTTGAATGATAACTGAATAAATGAATATGTAATAAATGAATTAATAAATTATGTATTTTATCTTTTCCATAAATAATTCTAGATACCTTATCCGAATTGTTTAAATGTGTAGAACCCAGAAAAGCTTGTTTTTCAACAACCAGTCAAAATTTACAGCAGGGCATGCAAATTTGGTCTGTTTTTTGGCCAGACAGGAACTGCACACGGGCTGAATGTAAATATAAGTCTCTGTAAATCCACTCTCTGACAGCAGGTGGTGCTTATGGAACAGCAGAATTACAGCTGTTTCCCGTAACCTCCGTGGACAAAGCAGCATTGCGATTAAAAACACTACTTTGTTAGGTATTACATGGAGCACGGGTAAAAACAAAATTCCATTGAATCTTTTTTGAAGACAGTCAGAACCTTCCGAGGTACATTCATATAATTCATCCATTTATATATTCATTTGTGTAATTCCCTAAGCACTATTTTAAAACCTTGCATCTTCCCGCCATGTTATCTGCGTTCTGTGCACACATGAGACTGTTACTTAAAAATTTGCTTTATGCTGGATAGTATTTATTTATACTCAGTTGTTCAAATCACGGTAATCAAATATGGTTCTAACCATGGGGAATTTTATCATGATTTATCGTCAAACCGGTAATTATAAAAATTTTTTGTAAAAAACAAAAGAGGAAAACGCCTGCGGAACAAAAGAAGGCTTAAGGCAAGAAGTAGGACCCGTGTATATATCGGATCAGCTTTCCAGCGCTGGAGAGAACTCAAGGAGCGGAAGGCCTGCGATCGGACGCCGAGGTTGCTTTGTTTCTTCTTGATAGGTGAGTAACACCGTGTCTGCACTGCAACAACTAAAGTCTGTCTAGTACACTGGCGAAGCGACCGTTGAAAATCATTTGAAATTTGTGTCAATACGTCATGAATAGAACGCAGCAGCAGTTTTCTGTCGGGGATTTGTCGTGTCGTGCAGCGCCGCATCCAGTGTAGACCATAGATATGTATATATATCTATGGTGTAGACAGTATCACTGATTATAATGAGTTCCATAGTATTTTGTCGCGTCGCACCACTCGCGTCCGGTGTACACACGGTGTAACATTGGTTTTGCTGTTTCACAGAACTAATCGTTGTCTGCGTTGCGTACGTATGTGTAGAGCGGAG